TAAAGTCCATCAGAAAGCCTCCCACCCACTCACTGATCAAATCCTGTCCTAAGACTTCCTCTGTTCACTCTGTGAACTCACTCTCTTTTCAAAACACCCCAAGTCTCTGCCAGGAGGAAAGTTATGGTAGCTGACTCCCTTACTTTAGCACGATCTAAATACACAGGATTTAGGTAATCCTAGAGACAGTCTTTGTCTTTTGGACAAAGCACAAGTATACTCTTATCCAGATTTGCAATGTAAATTTGCACGTTGGGCCACCTCCAACAGGATCAGAGGTTGCCAGATTGTGGGATCCAACACACATGAGAAACTAGGGAGGGAAGAGACTAAGAAAAAAATGCCAGGGAGTCAAAAAGGGACATTTAATTTGGCCTACGGCCAAATTCCTTCAACTCCTACTGTCCGGCAAAGAGAAGCAGCCGGCCTACCAGTTCCCCTGCCTCATGCTAGTTTCTTTCTTGCTGTTATAGTCTGCTTATTGACACACATCTATCTGGTCCTACCATAAGCCAGGGGGTGCAAATCCCAACTCCCTAATACTTTCAGAAATCAGGGAGGGAGAGCCAGTGAGCAGAACATCTCTATAATAATAAAAGAGTAATATGCTAATTAGACCGGACATCCTTCTGAAAACCTTCCAGACGAAGCCAGGGCTGCAAGTGAAGCCTGGGTTATGGGTGCCTGCCAGCAGCCCGAGGGAAGCCCGAGTCCTGGAGCTGGAGGGAAGCCAGTGCTGGCAGGCCGGAGAAAGAAGGCCTGCTCTTGCATGAATTTCATGCATTGGGCCTCTAGTAGTCTGATAAGAAGGGTTAGTGGCAAGAACCTGGTTCTTTTCTTTCTTTTTTTTCTTTTTAATATATTTTATTGATTTTAGAGAGGAAGGGAGAGGGAAAGATAGAAACATCGATGATGAGAGAGAATCATTGATCAGCTGCCTCCTGCATGCTCCCTACTGGGGATTGAGCCCACAACCCAGGCATGTACCCTTGGCCGGAATCAAACCTGGGACCTTCAGTCCACAGGTGATGCTCTATCAGTTGAGCCAAACCAGCTAGGGCAGGAACCTGGTTCTTTCAATGCCCCGAGAAGAAATGCTCCACACAGAGCAAGGGGTAGTGAAGGCAGGGACAAAGGAGAAGCGGCAGGAGCCAGGAAGGGGTTTTCCTAGGCAAGGCCTGACCTGAATTTTAGAGGAGATTCTGAATTTGCAAGGCATAGAAAGTGGGGCGATGCTTGGGATGATTATGAACTTGAGCCATATATATGTATAAAGTGTCCAAAGTACTTTCATAAAAAGATATTGGGGAACCAGTATGACCTATTTAACTCTAACTCTGTGTTTTCCAAACTCCTTTTTCAACAAAGCAAAAATTAAAAAAACAAACAAAAAACAACAACAAGGAAAATGTAATCAGCCCTGCAGAAATGCTGTGGAAAACACTTCCTATTTAGATTTAGTCTACACCCATTTTAATTGTTTAAACAAGAATGATGTGCCACATCCATTGCTGCATAATTACCACCTCAAAACACAGTGGCTTAAAAGAACGACCATTTATTATTTCTCACGGTCTCTGCTCAGGTGACCTTCACTTCAGGTGATTTTGTCTAAACTTCCGCAACAGCATAATGGCAAGATTCCAAGGAGAGGAGACAGACGTAAACTACCTTAAGGCGTGGAAAGATTCTCAGAATGTTACTTCTGCATTCCACTGGTTAAAGGAAGCCGACAGACCAGCCCAAGTTCAAGGAAAGAGGAAATAGACTTCACCTCCTTGTTTGAGGAGCAGCCTGGGGAGCAGGGGAATAGATGGGGGTCCTCTTTGGAGATTATCACAGAGGACATTTGGTGCCAGACTTTCCACTTAAAGCCTAAGTTGTTCCCCTTACTGAAGTTGTTTAAATTTTACAAACGAATGGGTTGTTGTTTATCTTACAAGAGCAAGCTTTGATTTTTAGATGAGAGCTTTCTTTGTTAGGTAGCAAACTTCAAAGCTTTGATTTGAGGTGGAAAGTGTCCTGTGCTTGAGAGTCAGAAGATCTAGGTGTCTCTTTTGACTGCGATTTTTCCAGCTGGGGAACTTGGGCAAACACTTAACCTCTCATAACCTGAGTTCCCTTGTCTGTAACTCACAGAATTTTATTTTGGGCTAAAAAAGAGACAGAGGTCTTTGGTGATTCCCAGAAGAGCAGGTCTCAGGGAACTGGAACGGGAACCAAAGCAGTTCTGAGGAATCCTCAACAGGATCTGAGTCTTCACTCCCCGCCTACACGGTTCCTGGATGCTTCCTGTCATTCACGACTAGTTCTTCCTCTCTGCCATCAGTATTTCGTCTTTACCACACCGTGCTTGATTTTTCATCCTTTCAGCCTGCCTTGAGTATCATGGTCAAACCTCATAGTCAAGTCCAGGCATTGGCAAACATGGGCCTAGGAGCCAAAAGGGGCTTGCCACTGCGCTTATAAATGCAGCTTTATTCAAGCACAGTCACACTCGTGCTTTCACTGTGGCCTCTTTTAGCTACAAAGGCAGTGTTGAGTGGTTGCAACAGAAATAGTGTGGTTCACAAAACCAATATGGCTTTTTATTATTTATTTTTAAAAAATATGTTTATATTTGATTCCAGAAAGGAAGGGAGAGGGAGAGAGAGATAGAAACATCAATGATCGGAGAGAATCATAGATTGGTTGCCTCCTGCATGCCCCCTACTGGGGATCGAGCCCACAACCCAGGCATGTGCCCTTGAGCAGAATCAAATCTGTGACCCTTCAGTCTGCAGGCCAATGCTCTATCCACTGAGCCAAACCAGCTAGGGCCCTATATGACTTTTTAGAGACAGTTTCCTGATCCCTGGTCTAGACTCTCCCTCATGGCTCCTGTCTCTAGGCATTCGTTTAGCTTCTGCTCTCACTACCTCATTCTTAAAGTATTTCCCAGTCCAAGTTCCCAGAAGAGAGAGAACCAAATTCCTCTGAAATCCCTATTCCTCAGTCTGAAATGAAATTAAGGTCAGCTGAAACTGGTTTGGCTCAGTGGATAGAGTGCCGGCCTGCGGTCTGAAAGGTCCCAGGTTTGATTCCAGTCAAGGGCACATGCCTGGGTTGTGGGCTCGATCCCCAGTGGGGAGTGTGCGGGAGGCAGCTGATCGATGGTTTTCTCTCATCCATGTTTCTGGCGCTCTATCCCTCTCTCTTCCTCTCTGTAAAAAAATCAATTCTATTTATATATAGAAATTAAAGGACATCTCTTCATGCCAGGCCACCTCCCCAGCTATGGTGAGCCTGTATACAGGTGACATGTTCTCTCCCATCTTATTCAGTCAATTGTGGCTGAGATGTAGGTAACAAGGAGTCAGTAAAACAGAGCTGCCTCAGAGGGGTGAGGGCATAATGGGCACTGGTACAACCGAAAATGGCCTTACATGAGCTAATATTATACATGTAAAATCATTACACAGTAATGTACTTGAGTCATATATGTATAAAGTGTCAAAGTACTTTCCAATAAAGTTCAATCTGAAATGAAACACATGCCCCTGAGGTTAAATATGTAAATCAGTGACAAAACAGGATCTATAATAATAAAAGCATAATATGCTAATTAGACCGGCCGTCCTTCCGGACGACCTTCCATACAAGGCCGGAGCTGCAGCTGTGGGACCGAGGCAGCCACCGCAGCTACGAGGGAGGGATCAAGGCAGCCACTGCGGCTATAAAGGCTTACTCTTGCACGCATTGTGTGCACCAAGCCTATAGTATAACATTAAAACTCAATCTACCCACAATACTTTAGCTCTAAGGAATAATAGGACCTATATTATGGTGCCATTACATGAAATACCATTAGCATTGCCCATGAGACAAAAAGTAGGTGAAAAAAAGACTAACTGAGAGGTGGAATTGAGATCGGGTGAGTATGGGCACTAGTTAGATGGGAATGATCTTTCTTAGTTGGAAAAGAGAAGCCTCAGCAATGTGTTCATTATTATTGATGTACTTTCTTGAGGACAAGTAACTAGTACCACAGAGTTTTGTAATAACCAGCACTTTAAGTAGGATATTCTTCCGTGCTTTTCCAACGGGAACCGTGCCTGCTGGGGTTGCCGACATTTGAGGCTGCCTTTCCCACTACGGAGCACGGCTCCAGTTAAGATCCTGCGTGGAGGAGACCACGCCAGGTTTTCAAGTCTTCTGACCCTTCTAGGAATGCAAAAGGTGTGGTACTCACAGTCCACTTTAGAGAGAAACCTGACAGCATTTTCAATAAAGAAACTTTACAAAATTTTCCCTGGGAAAGAAACTTTTAGAACCATGCCTACACGTACTAGCCTAAACCGACTGATAACACAGACAAATAAATTCCAAAATAACTTTTATTACTATATAAAATCAAGTCAAGAAAAAAAAATAGGTGCGTATTTTTTTTTTCTACAACATTTTAAAATACTCAGGCTATTTAACATTTTCCCCATAAATGTGCTGAGATGGAGAGACAAATTCATACACAGAAATATTTTTCCAGGTTCCTTATAGGAATAAAGAGTAATGGTTTTCTTTCATCCCCATGTTCCTCTGTGTGGCTCTAAGACATAGTGGTTACAGTTTGTTTTTTTGTTGTTATAAATCTGAAAAAAGGACATGCCAAGAGAAAAATTCTACCATGTTGCAATAAAACTAGCACCAAGCTCTGCTTCATCTTTGAGCTTTCAGATTTGGCAGCTGTGGTCATTTGCAACTCAGCCTAATTAAAAAGAAGGCATCCTCTTTACCTTGTCTTTTACTAAACCACTGGTCAGTATCCCTAAAAAGGTGCAACTGCCTTCTTTGTCATCTGATTGTAAGGCCTGCAAGGTGGTTTCTCACCATCACAGCTCAGATGAAACCACACAAGGAAAAGGAAGGAAGTCCCTGGGAGGTTGGACTCAGTTTGACACCAGGAGCATAGGAAGCTGCACACTTGGTAACATTCAATCAAAACGTATATTCCTTTGAGCTTCTCAGTGAGCCCTGCAAGAGAAAAGGGGCTAGTGTTGATGTAGATGTGTGTTAAAATAATAACACTTTTCCCCCTGAATCGAGATGGTGGGTAAACCAAGCCAGATTAGCTCTGCAGGTGACATAAGCTATAATTATTTGTGGGGATCTCAGTCACTGTTTTGGAATGGATACCTAAGGCTTGGTTCTCCCCTATTCTTTTTTTTTTGTGTGTGTGTGGGGGGGGGGGGGGGGAGGGAAGGGAGACGAACTTTTTAATGAGATATTTTTAAGGGAGATGGTTTAGGTAGAAAATATTAGCTTTTAAAAGATAAAGGTATAATTATCTTTAGAATAGGAAGCCCATTTAAAAAAGGTCTCAAAGAGAAAGTTTTTCTAGGTATATTTTGCCAGGCATTGTTTTCATAAAGGCTGAGAAAGAAGATCCTATAATATCTGTAAGATCACCCTCACATTAGCCTGAAAGACAAAATAAAAGGCTGAGATGAGGGGTGCTCAAATAGTTTGCAATGGAGCAGAATGCTCTAGTACCAAATCCATAATTAACTTTTCACTAATTACCTCTTTCTTGGCCTATATAAAATGGAATGGCAGTTTCAGTTTTTGAGGCTCTCACTGACCCTTTCCCTCCAAAACTCCTGGAATTCTGCACCTCTCCATGTAATGAAATATCCATTTATCAAATGTTTGTGTGTGACAATGGAATTCTCTTACTTGACACCAAAATTGTAGCACGCTCTACGGATATTGAATTGAATTGTGCCTACTATGTGCCAAGCACCAAACCAGGCACCAGCAGTCCTTCTGACATGTTTACCAATTTTGAAAATAGTTACATAAGGAAACTGTTTCAGAGAGGGGATTTTGAATGGTTATCCATGAAGCTTACCGGATGTGGTGGAGTGTATTCAATATTCAATGTATAGAAGTAATGACCAGTTATCCTAAGAGGAAATCCACTAAGCTCTGAAAAAAAGTCAAGTGTACCAGTATTTGCTGTAAAACTGTAAGGTTTTTATCCATCTTAAAGTGCTCTAGTTTAACATTGCAGGGAATCTGTAAATCGACCCCAAAGTGAAAACCATCATTTCAGCATAGACACTGCTCTAGGTTCTAATTAATCAGCCCCGAGAGGTCTCCATGCATGGAAGTTGTCACCTCTGAGTCGCAAGTCACGACTGAGAACACAAAGCTCAAGGTAGCCCCTAAAATCCCACACAAATCTGGATGGATCCCAGCTGCTGTCCCCAGGAAGGACAGACTCTGAGGCAAGTCTCTCTCTCTTTCCCATCTTCAAATTGAAAACTGTCCAGCAACTAAGATCATAAAGAACAAAAATCTTAATTGATTATCTTGAAAACTATAGATGTTCTTACCCGAATCTTCCTTTGTCATTAAGACACAACTTTAAGAATATAGAAGTGTCAAGGTGAGCCATGGCTTGTGGGCAGTGGACGGGCACCCAGGACTTATTTCCAGGCCCTTTTCCTTGGTTATCTGAGGAATCTTGGCAAAAAGAGCCAGAAGGTAACCATTAACCACGCAGCGGAAATTTATTCAGGGGACAGTCAAAGAAGGTGCAGATTAGTATAAAAAAGGAAAAATGGCATCAACCAGTGGATAGAGCATTAGCCTATGGACTGAAGAGTCCCAGGTTCGATTCTGGTCAAGGGCATGTACCTTGGTTATGGGCACATCCCCGGTAGGGAATGTGCAGGAGGCAGCTGATCGATTTTCCTCTGTCATTGATGTTTTTAACTCTCTATCCCTTTCTCTTCCTTTCTGTAAAAAATCAATAAAATATATTTTTAAAAAAAGAAAAAAACAAAACAAAAAAACAGCTCAGTGAAGTGGTGAGACTCACAGACTGAGGAGCCAAAAAAACAGCTCAGTGAAGTGGTGAGACTCACAGACTGGCAGGTTTTGAATCTCAGTTCCACCACTTATGACCTTGGGGCAAGTTACTAACCAGTTCAAGCTTCAGATTTTTCATCTATAAAATGAAGACAATCATAGTCCCTACTTCAGAAGGTTTGTTTGGGGATCGAATGAGCTAATAATATCTATAAAGTGCTTAGAATAGCGTCTGGCCCACAGTAAGTGCCATGCAACTACTTAAAAAAATAAAAACAGAAACTTGAGAAAAAGGTGCTTTTTAAGATTTTTTGAGCAGTCTGTGCTGCTTAAGAATTTAGGCACATTTGCCGAAGCCGGTTTGGCTCAGTAGTGGAGCGTCGGTCTGCCGACTGAAGGGTCCCGGGTTTGATTCCGGTCAAGGGCGTGTACATTGGTTGCAGGCACATCTCCAGTAGGGGGTGTGCAGGAGGCAGTTGGTCGATGTTTCTCTCTCATCGACGTTTCTAGCTCTCTATCTCTCTCCCTTCCTCTCTGTAAAAAATCAATAAAATATATTAAAAAAAAAAAAAAAGAATTTAGGCACATTCTTGATTTAATTGGGTTTGGAGCCTGGATCATAAAATATGCCAAACCCCAGGGAAGCCTTGGGACTCAGTTGAGTTTTGGAAAAACTTCCAGGGCTGCCACTTTATCAGATTTGCCAACCAACAAATACAGTGTGAGCATCTGTGCTCTGCAAAGCCCGGGACACTTTGGTCCTCAACCAGAGCTAACAGAACAGTTTACAGCTGCTATCGTTTACACTGACCACCTCCTTTCCAAGGTAAGTTCATAGGCCTCGATCAGCACCACCTCTTCCAAGAAATCCTGCTTTATGATTAAAACAATAGAAACTCTATGAAGCTCAATCATCTTATGGCTAAATAGGGGGCGTTAAACTGTAGAGCTGGTTTTTAAAAGTGACGTTACATGACTACTCCGCTACCAACACCTTACATGGTGGACCTCTGGCCACTCTCGTCAAGGGCCACGTTTCTTTTCCTGGCCGCTGCTTCGTTGTTTAACTCTGACTCTGATTTGTCCACGTTGTCAAAGTTTATTGCCATGGGGCCTTCCACTCCCTCTGGAGTGCCTCCGTTTGGCTGAAGACGGACAGAAGCTGGCTCTTGAGGACGTTTCCACTGTGGTCTGGTGACTATCCAGAAAACGAGGGCCCCAAACACCAGAATCAGAAGGCCCAGGGTGTTTGCAAAAACACCTTCTGGTGGGAACGTGTCATAGCCAGGTTTTTTCCTACCAAAAAAAAAAATATAAATAAATAAAAGAGAAGGCGAGCATCAGTCCAATTATACACAGAGTGAGATAGCAACATGTCAAGCAATTTTGAATTTATCTGTTGAATATGCAACTGGTACAGGTTCAGTGTCAATTCCCTTAAAGCCTGATTTTAAGGGGGAATTTATGCTATAATTCACTCAGTGGAATAGTATGAATTGTTAAAAAACAAAACAAAACAAAAAACCATTAGTATAAAAACAATATAGCTTCTGGAGCACTTGTATTGCTTAAAAAATGAAAAAAGGATGATGCAAAAATGTACATACACCACAACTGAAATCAATAAAAACATGCGCATCAAAAAGATTGTAAGGGCATGCATAATTTTATTTTATTTTATTTTATTTATTTATTTATTATTTTTTTTTTTTGTGGGGATATGCACTGCACCGTGCTTAGCTGCGCCTAATTCTACATTCTCATGAGTACGAGGGGTACTCAGTGTTACGAAAATTATAGAAGGGGTACACATATGTCAAAAGTTTGGGAAACTCTGCTCTAGAGAGCAAGTTGTGGGAAGCATGGCTGATTGACAGCCTCCAGCAGCCACACCCCAGGTCTGTGTCCTGAAAGCTCTCCCTGCTCCTCCCTTTATGTTCCCTTGCACTTCCCCCCATAGATCTCTGCACAGCCCACCTGATCTAATGCAGGGTTCTTTTTTTTTTATTATTGATTTTTTTATTTTTATTTTTATTTTTTTTGATGTATTACACTTTATTTTTATTTTTTTTGTTTTTGTTTTTTTTTCCTTAATTTTTATTGCTCATATTATTACAAATGTCCCTTCCCCCCCCTTCCCACCCCATCCTCTGCCCTTTCCCCTCCCCGCATTGTCCTCATCCATAGGTGCACAGTTTATGTTCAGTCTCTTCCCACATCCCCCTCTCCCCTTTTCCCCAAGAATCATCAGTTCACTCCCCTTCCATACCTCTGATTCTATTATATTCAACAGTTAATATTGTTCATTAGATTTTTTTTTAATTTCCTTGGTTTTTAGATTCACTTGTTGACAGTTACAAATTTGTTGTTCATAATTTTTATCTTTATTTACTTTCTCTTCTGAAAGAACCCCCTTCAGCAATTCATATAATTCTGGTTTGGTGGTGATGAACTCCTTTAGCTTTTTTTTATTAGTGAAGCTCTTTATCTGACCTTCGAATCTGAGTGATAGCTTTGCTGGATAGATTATCTTTGGCTGTAGGTTCTTACTATTCATCACCTTGAATATTTCTTGCCATTCCCTTCTGGCCTGCATGGTTTCTGTTGAGAAGTCAGCTGACAATCGTATAGGTGCTCCTTTATAGGTAACTACCTGCTTAGCTCTTGCTGCTTTTAATATTTTCTCTTTGTCTTTTGCTCTTGGAATCTTAATTATGATTTGTCTTGGTGTGATCCTCTTTGGATTCCTTTTATTTGGAGTTCTGTGTGCTTCCTGGACTTGTAAGTCTAATTCTTTCCCCAGGTGGGGGAAGTTTTCTGTCACTATTTCTTTCAATATGTTTTCGATATCTTGCTCTCTCTCATCTTCTGGGACCCCCATAATTCTGATGTTGGATCGTTTGAAGTTGTCCCAGAGGTTTCTTACATCATCTTCAATTTTCTGGATTCTCTTGCCTTCTAGCTTCTGCAGAGGAGTATCTTCTGGCTCTTTATGTTCCAAATCTTTGACTTGATTCTTGCGATCTTCTATTCTGTTTTTAGGACTCTGTATAATAGTTTTTATTTCAGACAATGTATTCTTTATTTCTTGTTGATCCCTTTTCATATCCTCATAAGTCTCATTTATTTTATCAGCCTTTTCTAGGAAACTCTTGAAAAACCTTATAAGTGTGGTTTTGAACTCTATATCCAGTCGCTTTTTGTCCTCCATTTCTTTCGTTTGTGATCTATTTGGTTTAGGCATTTTCGCAGGCAGCTTTCCTGATGGGGCGGGGTTTCAGGGTGGAGCCTACAGCTTTGGCTTCCGTCAGCCCCGCCCTATGCGACTCCTGAGACTCAGGGTCCTTCAGTACTTGTTGTAAGCGCCTCTGAGAAAAAGGCGCCCTCGATTTTCGCCTGCTGCCAAACAGTCAATGCTCTCCCCCACTGAGCCCGGAACTGGGGTGCAGTTCAGTTGGAAGTGGAGTTGGAGGTGGCGTTCAGAGCAGTCTGGAGCCCCTGTCTCCTTCCTGCCAGGCAATCCCGCGGCACAGCCGGCCGTCTCTGCGCAGCGCCGCCAGGACCTCCTTTCGCCTCTTCCCCGGGTTCCGCCTTTCAGCCCAGCTCCCTCTGTGTGAGCCTGGGTCCCCGGGGTCTGGCCTAGGCCTGGGGTTCAGAACAGTCAGAATGGGGCCCAGCACAGTCGGAGTTTTATCTCCTTCCCGCCAGGGAACGCCCGCCAGGCACTCCGCTCCCTCCTCTCCGGCTCCGTCCTCTCCGCGCGCCGCGTGTCTCCGTACCTTCTTGTTGTAGATTTCCAGTCAGTCGACTTTCCTGTAGTTCTGGGTGATGTCCATTTTATATTTTAGTTGTATTTTATTAAAATTGTTGCGTGCGGCTGCGGCTAGGTGCCTACCCGAGCAGCCATCTTGAATTCTCCCTTATTGATTTTTTTTTTTTTCGGGCATGCATAATTTTAATAGCTGTTCTAAGAGTAGTACAACTTATTGGATTTTTGTTCCTTCTTTAAGCATTCAGTAATACTATATTGTGCGATACAATAACTTGTATCTTCATACAATGTTATATTGTATTATAGAATAAATGTTTTAAGAATAAATATTTAATTTTTTTAATGTTTTGATATTTTTAAAATTTTGTTACATTTTATTACTTTTTCCCAATGAAAAAGTATTTTCCATTTATAGCATTAAGTATACAATTAGGATAACTATGTCACTTACAGGACAAATAACAGTTTCTCAGTCACTCCCATGAGGGCTGTTGCAATCACTGTTCCAAAGATGAGAAGTCCAGAATAAACGTGTATGGGCATGAGAAATGCTCGAAGAGAGGGTGGAGCCCAAGGAAGCAGAAAGATGAAAAAACCTAGGAGAAGCTAAACATCAAAAAGTGCAATGGTTATCATTTAGTCTTAAGTTTTAACTACAGGAATTTAAAGTTATTATTTAAAAGCAATGTGTGCAAACTGAGAAAATATTTCATATAGAACTAAGGGCATAAAATGAAAAGTAAGTTTTCCTACTCCAGTTCCACTAATCGAAGGTAACATCTGTTATCATCTTCTAAAGCACCCTTCCAGAAAATTTCTGTGCTTATATAAACAAACGTGTGTGTGTGTGTGTGTGTGTGTGTGCGTGTGTGCAAGTACATGTGTATTTGTTTTGCATCTTGTGTTTTTAGATATCTTTTCATAGCAACATGTGATTATCTAGTTTATTCTTTATAAAGGCTAATATTCTATTTTGAGGATATAACATAATTGATTCACTTCTTTATGGGTGTTCCTGTTTCCAGTTTTTTTTTTTGTTTTTTTTTGCTATCATTACATTAATAAAGCTACATGAACATTCTGGTACTTACTTGTTTTTTTTGTTGTTGTGTACAATAGGACACATTTAGTCAGGTCAACCTAAAAAACTATATGGAAAGAGGTCGATAATTTTGTTTTATGAGGAAGAAATGTGTCCTACAGAAAAGTTGCCTTAATTTCCTTGATAATTCAATCCTGATGGAATACTTCTCTGCCGAGAAGCCAGCAAGTTCCTATGTAAACTGAAATCTAACACCTTCAGTTTAATTTTGTTGCCTCATACCCCTGCCTATTAAGTATTCTCTTTTCCTCAAGAAAACAAAGGTAACTTAGATGAATTTAAAGGAACTTTGTTTTTCAAATATCTATTTAGGATCTATTATACCACCCTAACAAAAGTGTGAGAAGAGAGGAGAATGGGGAGAAACACTAACATCACTGTTCATCTTTATGGTTTGAGATCAAAGGACTAATGGGGTGCCAGCAGAATGGAAATGGGGGGTCTGATGCCCTAAAACTCATTTAGGATAAGTGTTTAGGCAGTGATCATGAGGGGAAAGGAATAAAAAATGCAGCTGATAGTCTGGTTTGCATGATATTGTCCACTTAATGTCCCAAATGCCTGAATACATTAGAAATGGTTCAGAAGGTCCCTGTTGGTGGTTCAGAATGTTCCTAATTCTCCTTTAGAGTTATCATTGACTAGAGGCCTGGTACATGAATTTGTGCACGGGTGTGGTCCCTTAGCCTGGCCGGCAATCGGGGCCAATTGGGGCTAATCAAGGCCGCAGGAGGTAGACTGGTCTTTCAGTCGTATGGCCACTTGGGCTTTTATATATATACATGTGCAGATAGTTTTCAGACCTTATTTTTTGTGACTTCCCAGTACCACCTGACATTCAAACCTCTCCTCCATCTTTGTTTCTTTTCTCACCACCCATTTGCTCAAGCCTGCAAGTGATTCTCTTTCTTACCCATTGATTTTCCAAACCCCATTAATTCTACCTACTAAATATCTACCTACTATCCACTTTTCTCTCCGATGCTGTTACTCCTCCAAGATACTATCGTTTCTCACCTGAGCCTCTGTACTAGTAAATGCCCCCACGCTAGTTTTTCTGTATTTACTCCTGTCCAGCCTCCAATTCATCTTATATACTCTACTCCAGGCAGCCTGATCTCCCTGTTCCTCAAATAAAGCAAACTTTATCCACATACTGTTCGATCCACCTAGAAGACTCTTTCCCCTTCACCACCAAGTCTTGGTGTGACTTCCTGTATCCCCTCTACCATATGAGATCTCTCCCAGAACACTTCATATACTCAATGTCTACCACATACTGAGTGACCTGCCTTCCCCTGTAACATTCATGTCTCTTTGGACCCATGCTTGTCTTATGAAACAAGGTATCCAACACATAATAGGAAGTTAACTCTGTTGAATAAATTATGGATTCCTGAATAAAATTTCACTGACAAAAAAAAGCATGTTCTCAACCACAAAGGTGCTTATGGTCTATAGTAGAAATGAAAAATGCCATCTTCAGGTCATAAAGGAGCCTACCAAAGATTTGCATTTCTAATAACAACAGCTGACTGCATCATTCCAGTACGGTTAAGCCCTAACTGAGCCTTTCCATGTATTATTTGGCTTTGATTCTTATGATGTTGTGAAGAATGTACAACAAGACTCAATTTATAGATGAGCAAACTAAGTCCACAAAAAATTAGTAACTTGTCCAACGTCACCAGCTACAAATATACAAATAGATGAACCCAATTCAAACCGAGGTCACCCTGATTCCAACTCCTGAGTTATTAAAATACTGCCTTCTCTCTGAATCTGAGCAAGGAAGAAGCCAGGGGCCGAAGTCAGCCTAATAAATACAGTCATGAAGTTGTGAAGTGACATTTCTGAGAAGCCTCTTAGCAGACAAATAAGACAGTCTAAGATAAGAATCTGGATACTTCAGAGAGCAAAAATACAATTAAAAATGTATTTAATTCACTCAAGTTTAACATTAGTAAGTTGATGGATGTAACTAACTACATTAATAGATTAAAGAAAAAAAACTATATTCATCTCAATAGACACAGAAAAACATTCAATAAGATTCTACATTCATTTATGATTCAGAAAGAAAAATAAAACCTTTTCCCAAACTGTAATAAGAAGAAATGTGAAGCATCTCTAGTCAGTAGAAAACTATTAAATCATTCTCTTCAAAATAAGAATAAATGAAGATTTTTATCTCTTTCTATTCTGTACTTCTTAAACCTATATATTTTATATACCTCAATTCTATATGCTTCAAATCTCTACTGCACAGAGGAAAAGATATATGGTAAATCTGGCATTGCAGGTAAGTAGCAAGGACAAGGACAATGAAATAAATGGTGCTGGGGAAACGCTTACCACACGGAGAAAAAATAAAGTTGTATCAGAACTTCACATCATACACTAAGCTAATTCCAGATGGATTAAGTACTTAAATATAAAAAATAAAACTTAAAGACTCTTGATAGACAATGGTTCTCAAACATTAGCGTGCCTCTGAGTCACCGGAGGGCCTGTGAAAAGCACATTTCTCTGGACCCTACCCCACAGGTTCTGACCCAGCAGGTGTGTAGAACCTGAGAATCCATTTTGAGTTCAGGGTAGAGAAGATTTTCATAAACAAGTCACCGAAACAAAACATAATAACTTAAAAAACAAAAACAAAAACAAAAAAAGCATGGCTCGTGTTTTATTAAAATTGAGAATTGATTTAACAAAAGAGGAAAAGTACAAGCTTCAAATTGGAAGACATATGCAATTCATATAAATGAAAAGGAATTTGAAACAGAACTACAAATCTTTAAGGGAAAAAAAAGAAACTTTTTTTTAAATGGGCAAAAGACACAAACAAGTGTTTCTTAGAAGAGAAACAAGTAATCAGTGAAGTAAACATTAAAACCACAAGAAGACATCCTTTTATGCCCACTAGCTTATAATAATTAAAGCATTTGAACACAAGAGTGATACTTCTATGTCAACAAAGGAGGTTTAAACCTGGGCGGGGGCATTGGGAAGAGGATGCATGTTGACAGGGATGTGCCGGATGGAAACTCTTACACCCTGCTAGCAGGAACATAATTGGGATCAACCACTTTTGAAAACCATTTAACATTTTTTTAGGCTCTTTCTTATAATTCCACTTCTAAGTATACTATATCCGGAGAAACCTTTGCATAGGAGAGCCAGGAAATGTGTTTCTAAATGTCCAATGTCACAGAGAATAATTGAAAATAACCCAATTATTTAATGTCTAATAGCATGAGAATGAATAAGTAAATGTGTGGTATATTTGTACAATGGAACACAAAAGTAAAAGTGAATGAACTAGAGGAAATAAGATAGTGGAATCAGTACAATGAAAATAAAGGTTGCAAAAGAATTAAAACATAGTTACATTAGACTACATATATTATGAGACTTTTTAAAATTAAAGGAAAACTAACCAATATGTTGTTCAGGGATTCACAGTTATGTGATAAAATTATAAAGAAAAACAGAGAGTGAAAAAGAAAAAAAGAGAAAAAAAACTTCAGGAAAATGGTTATCTTCATGGGTTGGGATAGGTGGAGAGATATGGGATAAAGGTGGGTAAGGATTCTATGTTTTCCAAATTTGGCTGATGGGGGGATCATGGAAATCAATTTTATTATGATACATAATTTCCATATATTATACATACAAGAGGTGTTTGTTTTGTTTTTGTTTTTTTTAATCCTCATCCGATGATACTTTACCATTACTTTTTAGAGAGAGTAGAAGGGAGTGGGGGAGACAGAGAGAAACACACCTGGATTGGTTGGGGGATGGAGCCTGCAACCAAGGTATGTGCCCTTGGGCTAAATCAAACATGCAACTCTTCAGTCTATGGGCCAACATTCTAACCACTGAACAAACGGTCTAGGGCAAGAGTTTGTTATTTTTAAAAAGTGATCCAGAGGCTAGATCTTACAAGTAGAAAAGATTCTACACTTGAAATGCTTCATGATCCATAGATACACACGAGGAAGTGTATTGCTTGCATTGTTTTGCTGCTTGCCTCACCCTCCCACCTTCCTCACACAACCTAGCCAGTGGCTTCATTTGACATATGAAATTCTGATTTTACAGAGAGTGGCTAAACCAAACCCAGCTGCACTCAGATGAGAGGATCAGTTTCTCAGCCCTCTCAAGGGGAAATACTTAAAATGGAAACAAGTGGAACAAGGACTAGTGGGAATGAGAAGGTGATCTCCAGCAAAATATTATTGTGCCGAAGCTGGTTTGGCTCAGTGGAGAGAGCGTCAGCCTGCAGAATGAAAGGTTCGATTCTGGTCAAGGGCACGTACCTTGGTTGTGGGCACAACCCAGTGGGAGGTGTGCAGGAGGCAGCAATTCATGTTTCTCTCTCATAGATGTTTCAAACTCTCTATCCCTCTCCCTTCCTCTCTGTAAAAAGTTAGTAAAATATATTTTAAAAAAGCAATACAAAAAAAACCCCAAAATATTAATGTATAGAAAACATCTACAATATCTGAACAGCTTTACTTTTTATACCTTGTTTATAAACTGAGACACTGACCTGTAACACGTACAGTATGACAGCCGTCAGTCCAATCCAGCTATGTAGACTGTACATATTGGGGATGTTCAGGGTATTGTGGAAATCAAACACCGCCACCAGAGAAATAATGGCAAGAATGGCTGCCACGAAGTTTAACCCCGCGTGGATGGATTTCATCAGGAGCTTGCTGCATTTCCAGGTCCATGGCAGTCTGTACACAATGATGGCTACCGGGAGACAAAGGGGAACAGAATGTGGTTTTGTTTTGTTTTGTTTTTAAATCTACAGGTGATACACAGTTTGATTGAAACCCTTTCCTCTTGGCTTCTGCTTCTACCCTCTTCCCACCTTTCAATGGTTTTTCTTGGGCTCTTTCTCTGGCTTCTTCTTTACTCCCAACTTGTGAACAAACTTTGGTGCCCCCACACTCAGCCCCAGGGTTTTCCTCCTGCTCTCGCTGAGGGTGGCCTCATTCATTCTTTCCCCGAGATGCCACCTACATGGCAGGGACTCCGAACTTTAATCTCCAGCCCGAACTTTCTTCTCAACTCCAAACCTACGTCATCCAACAGCCTCTGGACATCCATATAGATGCTTCCCAAATATCTCGGACTTCATACATTCAGAACTAAATTCTTAATCTTAGGACCTGGTTTCTTTCTAGAAATATTTTAGTTTGATAAGAAAAAGGCAGACTAAGGATTAGAAAAATATGCAAGAAGATTTAAATAAGACAAAGAGTATATCCAAGTGGCTAATAAATGTAAGAAAGACATAAGTTCCATTATTCAACAGAGAAATACAAAATAAAATCAACAGAGAATACCTCTCCCACATATCTGAATGACCAAGCACGAAACATACTGAATATTGAAGAGGATGTGAAACAATCAAAACGCTCATGTATGCTGATGGGAGCTTAAATGAGAACAAAGACTATGGAAAATTAGCAGTATCTACTTCAGATAAACATACATATCTTAGGATGCAGCAATTCCACACCTGGGTATACACCCCAAAGAAATATGTTCAACAAATCTTTTCCAAAAGACACGTACTAGGATATTATTATTAGCACCATTTGTAATGGTCCAGCCTGGAAACTCCCCAAATGCCCATCATCAACAGAATGAATAATACAGTGTGATATAGTCATTCACACCACATAATAGAGCAAAGAGAATAAACAATTTAGAACTAGAATGTCACCCAACAATATGGATCAATCCCAAGAAACAAGACACGAACAAGTGTATCTTGTATGATTAATTTATGTGGAGGATAAACACAAGTAAAACTCATCTCTGCAATAAGAAAAGTCAGGCTAGTGGCTGCCCTTGTGAGGAAGGGTCATAGCAATTGAAAGGGAATACACAGGGATTTCTGCTTCTGTTCTCTTTCTCAATCTGGGTGCTGGTTACACACCTGGATTCATCAAGCTATGCATTTGCATGTTCATTTTTTGGCATGTAGATTAAGTTTCAACAAAAAGATTTTTACAACAGGTTTTTCAAAGTGTCCTGATTTAATTAGTGGGTTACATGGCCACCTGAACCAGCTTACAACTACTTTTTGTGATGAAGACAATACCTGTCATTTTTTATTTGACAATCTAAAGCAAAAGAGGTTAGTGTCCCTGACTAAATAGTCAGGTATTGCTTGTTTTAAAAATTCGTGTGGAACACCAGTTGAAAATTGCTCATCTACAAGAATGATGTTGCCATTTATTGAGGTGGAGAAGCCTATGAGATGAGAGGTTTTGAGGATTTGAGTAAGATCAAGAATTCAGATCTGGACATATCTATGTAACAGCCAAGTAGAGAGTATGAGTAAACAGATGAATATTTGGATTTGGAGTTCAGGGGATATTTAGAAATAAAAACATAGGAGGTTTCAGTGAATAACTGGTGTTTAAAGCTACTAAACTGGCTGAGATCACCACAAAAATGAGCATGAGCCTTGGACATTCTAACCTTGATCCAGCAGGGAGATGGGGAGGATCCATCAAAGGACACTGAAAAGAGGAGCAGGTGAGGAGAGAGGTGCCAAGAGAGTTGGGTGTCCTGGAAGTCAAATGAAGAAAGAATCCCAAGAAAGAGTAAAGGGCCAGTTATTCCAAATGCTTCCTTCTGTTCTAGCAAGATGAGGACTGAGAAGTGAACAGTGCAATTAGCAATGTGGGGGCCATTGGCTACTATGTTAAGAGCAATTTTGGTGGAGCTGTAGAGTGAACCCCTGATCAGAGTGGGTTTGAGGGAGACTAGCAGGAAAGGAATTGGAGAATGCAGATATTGACAAATAGTTCTGTGGGGAGGCAAGCAGAGGATTGAAGCAGTAGTTGAAGGGAGATTATAGAGTCACAAGTGTGGTTGCTCTTAAGAAGATAGAAATTATAATGTGTTGGAAATAATCTTTTGGGGGAGAAACTTGATGATGTAGAAGGAAAAAGGGAGAATTGATGAAGCAATGTCCTTAAGTAGACTGCGGAGGCACAGATTGTAATTCAGCTGTAGCATTATGAGTTTAAGTCCTTTAGAATAAAAGCTCATTTGTGACTTAATATGCTGCCTATTCTTTTGTGAGGTTGGCTAAAATAGTGCTTCCAAACTGGCTCAACAGGAGAATCACTGAGGGGAAGACAGGGGGAGATTTACTTTAGAGCAAGGATGTCCAACTCAAAGGCTAACACGGGCCAAATAAACAAGGTTTAAGTTTATGTGGGCCACAAAAAAACAAAAGCTTCAATTTTCATAGAAACGTAGATTTATTTCGATAAAGACATGCTGAAAACAAAGGGCTGAAATAAATAAGTAATCATTAACATAAAATAGAATATTTTAATAAAAATTATTTTTTTTGAACATTAACTTACTAGACACTGTATAACTGCACAGATTAATAAGTGAATGCAAATGAACCTATTTTTCTTGTTCTCTGAAAGCTAAATATTTCCTGGTGCGCACATCAAATAAGTTAATACAAGACTAATGATGTGGCAATCGCCTGCTAAAATATTTGCTGCTAGTATTAGTGGAGAGAAATGGTGCACCTGTGCATAAGGCGCATAAGGGAAATGAATGCAACAAGATTATAGTCATCAATCACTAGCGAACATAGTTCGGTATTAATAACTAGAGGCCTGGTATATGGGGGGAGGTGTACCACAGCCTGGCCTGCACCCTCTCACAGCCCAGGACTCCTTGGGGGATGTCTGACTGATGGCTTAGGCCCAAGGGGTCTTTAGTGCTGCTGTGGAGGCAGGAGAGGCTCCTGCCACTGTGCTAGCCAGCCATGAGTAGGCTTCTGGCTGAGTGGCGCTCCCCCTGTGGAAGCGCACTGACGACCACGGGGCAGCTCCTATATTGAGCATATGCCCCCTGGTGGTCAGTATGTGTCATAGTGATTGGTTGATCCACTGTTAGGATCAATTTACATATTACCCTTTAATTACAGATTGTATATAACAGGATTGTATATAACAGGATTTATAAAAATAAGTCACAAAATTTTATTAAAATGTTTTCTTACATACTATTACATTGGCTGGGCTGTAAAAATATTCATTGTGGGTCACATGTGGCCCGTGGGCCACGAGTTTGACATGCTTGTTTTAGAGGCTACTATTATCGTCATACATAAGTGGCTGTACAGTTGAATTTTGTTACTAACAATTCAATGATGGTACAAAAGTAATCACTCATTCTTTCAACAACTACTTATTGGCCTACCATATGCCAGTTCTAGGCGTCATTCTAGTTGCTGGGGATACAACAGCGGACAAAATAATAATGTCTAAGATATTTTTATTAGTTATGTTATAAACAGATCCATATGCATTTATTTATAATAAAAACTGTGTTTTGGGTTGCCTTGAATTGTCTTGTTATATTTTGCAAAAACCCGTATTTCCCTAATATTGAAAGATTTTATTATCAACTGTGTTCCCAAGGCTGGTTTTGGAGTAGGTATTTGGGGCACTTTCTCCGTTATCTTAGTTTTACCCAAGAGCCCTTTTAAATATATTTAGCCAGTCTTGAAATTTGGTCACTTTTAGATACATTAACAGGATATTCCAAATGCCTTTCAAGAACTACTCTTCCTTTCTTTTTGTTACTCTGTTAAATGTTACTTAAGTGTAGTTAAGTTCTCTCACAAAACCAACTTGATATCATTAGACTATTTCTCTCCCTTCAGTTTGTACAATAGAGCTCTACGATGGAAAAAACAGGGAGTATAGAATTGCTGAGACTTCTCTGTGCTGAAGTTATAAACTCGAATTTTCTAGGTTTTACTAAAGAACGCATTCCACCTGATGAACCTTTGAAAAGGTCAGCTGCCACGCTAAGAGCGCTCGTTTGTTTCGGTCTGCTGCGGCCTTTCCAGGCCTGTTTCTCCGATTTCCTGGCAGGATACCTGTTCCATGGGAAACGTTCTCTCAGGGATGCACAAAGCCTCCTCTAACGTTCTCTTGGGAGCTCCTCCTCATTCATGCTCACCAGATTTCCTACCTGCTTACATTTTTATTCTGGTTTTAGGTATTCTATGGTCTGCCGTACTTTATTTTAGAAACCAAATCTTTTCCAAAATATACCTGCAGAGAGAGGGAAGAGACATTTATTTTGTAACTCTAGGGAAGCCTTGCTTTCTTCAGACCTTACTTCTGAAAGGCGTTTCGAAGGACTCTTACTTGTTCTCACATGGTTTCAAATGCTGTTTACTATTTGTATATTGCATTTGTAAAGCATTTTAGGCTTAGAGTAAATGCCTGTATGTATCTTAGCTTTTCCTTCCTCATCTCTAAATGGTTGTGCATCGGAGAACTCATGTATGTCACGTCCGTTATTAGAGATGTGAAATATCTTTTATATTATTTAATTGATTTCTAGAGAGAGGCAGGGAAATAGGGTTTTCACAGAGTATAGAGAGACCATTCAAGGCAACCCAAATACTATTTCTGTTATAAATAAATGCATGCAGAATTCTTTATAACATACTTGGCTGTCAAATAGGCATGTCCAGATCTGAACTCTTGATCTTTATAATATAACTAATAAGAATGTTTTGGACATGATTGTTTTGTTCACTGTTGTATAACCAGCTCCTAGAACGATGCCTAGAACTGGCATATGGTAGGCCAATAAGCAGTTGTTGAAAGAATGAGTGATTGTTTCTGTAGCATCAGTAAATTGGTAACAAAATGCAACTTTACAGCCACTCAGGTGTGATGACTACAGTAGCCGCTAAAGGAAAAGCGCCCTCTCTCCCCCTCAGCGATCCTCTTGCTTGGAAGCCAGCTTGCAAGCACTGGTGTAGCCAGCCTCACAAAAGAATGGGCATCATATTACATTACATATGCATAGCCTGAAAGTTTTCTCCCTGAAGCAATGCCACATGGGGAAAGAGTGTTATACCACAGCGAGGCTGTATTATGTGCTTTCCTCCTGACCTAGAAAGTCAACCATTTGCCAGGTCTTCCCAGTCTCCCCGCGGGAGCCTCCCTACTGTTGGCTGTGAGGAGGTAAAAGTGAGGCAAAGATTTCTGGGAACTCGAAAGTACTATGTGTGTGCCTCTAAGGATGAAAAAGTTATTAAATGTATTGTGTGGTTAAATGCTTTGCAAATCTGGAATCTTAAAGAGTAAACAGGATGGGTAATGTTGATAGGACAAATATTCCAAAACTGATGCAAATACAGGAACTAAGCTTTAAGAAAACAAGGTTTGCATAAAAGCAGCAGATGAACATTTCCAAAACATCTACTTACGTTATCTTGCCCCGGGGCTCGTGACTATAAACAGATTTTTAAAAGTCCCAATTTTAGAGAACTAGAAATCCTTTTAGGAAAATAGTAATGAACTCTAATGTGAATGAAGAGTTCCTAGGTATATTTTAAATGAAGCCTTTTGCTTCTCTTAAAAAAAAAAAAAGTGTTTTGCAGAAAATAAGCATCGTCCCATAAAAGCAGAGAAATCAACCTTGAAAAGAGGGCCACGGAAAACACACTACTGTCATCAGTAAGTTACTCAAGTGCTCTGTGTGCCTCAGTTTACTCTTACATATGAAATAACATACTTCGCGGGCACACAGAGAGCACTCGATAAATGGAAACGTGTTTTCCACTTGGTCTCTTCTCTGTTAAGTCAGGATACAATTAATACTATGACTGAGGAAAAGATATCCCACAACCTCTGGAAAGTGTCTTGCTATGAGGAGCTGCTCTGAAACCTTGGCTGGAAGAGACGAAGAGACCGTTCCTCCTGCTTGGAGCACGCAGAGGCGTTGACAGCCCTGGCCCAACGTAAGGGCTCCCCCATGCAGGAAGAGCGCTTCTGATGACAGCGACTCAGAAACCTGACTACGTGTTTCTCCTTCTAGTTCAATGGGAAATAACGGGGATTACCCACTGAAATAACTCACACCCCAGTGCCAGGCTCACGCCAGGGAAGCGTGCCGACTGCGGCCGGGTCATTGGCAGTGCTGGCCACTGCATGCCGGAGTGGGAGAGTGCCTGCCTGCTGCACCTGCCTCTCCCAAGGCTGCGGCACCAGCTTCAACAGAAAACCTTTTCTGTAGGAACGAGGTGGGCGTTTCTTTGTGGCAAGTTAAGTATTGGTGAAGAAAAGGCAGCCTGCTTCCAAGAAAAGGGTACCTGGTTCCAAACCCCCTCCACTCCTCATCACCCCAATGCATCTCGTCCTACCTTTTTCTAAATATTTTCTCTGCCAAGGCTCCACTGAGTTCTTGGAAAGTGGTTGCAAATCAATGGCACTTGTCCCGCTAGCGAGAGCTCCCTCCAGTCAAACAACAGCTGAAGGAAACTGCAAGACAGCCTGGGAGGCACTAGGCCACAATGTTCTATCTAATAAAGGGGGAGTCCCACCCTCAAAGATAGTGGCGCCCACAGCCACAAGATGGCAGTTCCCAGTCCCTCCAGCCCTGCCCCCATGGCTCTGTGGGCCTGCCTCTGGAGTCTCCCGAGTCTCCTCAGCCCTCCAGCTGCCCAGAGCTGGAGGATCAGGTAACCAGGGCTGGCCGAGGCTTGGGCTGGCCGAGGCTTGCACTGCCAGCAGTGGCAGCAGCAGAGGTGTGATGGGGTGTTGCCTTCCCCTGATGGGGGGAGGGGGGAAGGGGTTGCCTCCTGGCCCTGAGGGCTTCTGGACTGTGAGAGGGGACAGGCCAGGCTGAGGGACCTCCTCTCCAGTGCATGAATTTTCATGCACCTGACCTCTAGTGACCAACATAAACAGCCAGAGGAAGGTGGGAAGGCGTAGGCAGGGGACATGGTGAAGGGGTTCAAAAGCACCAGCTTCCAGATATAAACTAAGTCCTGGATGTCATGTACAGCATGGTGGCTATTGTGAATGAAGACGTCCTGTGTATTTGAAAGTTGCTAAGAGAGTAGATTTTAAAAGTTCTCATCACAAGAAAAGAAAGTTATAACTATGCGCGTTCATGGGTCACTAACTAGATGTATGGTGGTGACCATATAGCTACATGTACATACATCGAGTCATTATGATAGGTACCTAAAAAGAACATAACGCTATAGGTCAACTCTACGTCCAACATTAAACAAACAGCCATCGGCTGAGCCCGAGCTCCCTCCGCTGCAGCCTCATCCCAGAGAACGCAGGCCCGGAGCTGGCTCACGGCACACGCGTGTGGGCCAAGCTCCAACGCGGCGAACTCGGGGGACCCTCCCGGGCAGAAGCCGGGCAGCCCGGGCCCCTTGCGGGCACCTCCGTCCGAGGGAGAGGCCAGCGCCCAACAGGCAGCCTCCAGGGGCGCGATGCCATCTGCAGCCTCAGAAGCGAGTTGGACTCAAAAAACCGAACTGTGCAGGCGGGCAGGGCCGCGCGCAGCCTTCGGAGTCCGGGCAGCTCCCCGGGCTCCGCGGACTTCCCTCCTCCCAGAGCGAAAGCGGAGCGGGCGCTGCCCCCACCCGGGGCTGAGCCTACCAGAGGCACATTCTCGCACATTCTTGCAACCCCTTCCCTCCCGGCCCGCTGGCCTCGCCCTCCTCATCTGCAGCCCAGAAAGCTCAGCCGGGGCCCCGGCTCAAGAAGAGGGCTTCGCGCCCCGGACGGCGCGTTTGGGTCCAAGGGGAGCGGTTTCCCCGGGGTGCGGGCTGCCCGGGCCGGCCCGCGGCGCCCAGGCATCTCTCTCCGCGGCTCCCCCGCCCCCCCCCCCCCCGTGTCGCCCCCCAGCCTCTCCCTGCAAAGAGTTAACCAAGATCGGGCTGCACCCGAGCTGGCGGCGCCGCTGCGCCCGGCCGTCCCCCAGGACGCGTCTCAGCGGATCCCCCGCCCCGCGATCGCTCACGTCGGCCACAGCCCGGCCCTGCGGGGCCGCTCCCCCCCGGTCCCTCCGGTCCCCCCGCGGGACCGACCACCACCCGCCCTCCCCACGCCCGGCTCCGGGGAGGCTCCCTCGCCCCATTCCCCCGCCCCGTCCCTGCCTTCGTTCCCCGCGCTCCCTGCATCCTCCCTCTCTTCCAACTCGCTCCCGTCGGCTCCCTCTCGGTGGGGACCCGATCGGGACCCCTGCCCGCGCCGCCCCCCCTTCCCAGGAGGCGCCAGTACCGATGCCCTGGATGAAGATGAAGCCGGTGACCGCGAGCACCGGGTGCCAGTTGAACTCGGGTCCTTTCCCGTCCCAGCCGAGCCCCTCCCGATAGTGGAGGACCCAGACGAGGGTGAAGATCACGGACAGGAAGCCGACCAGCAGCGCCGCCACCAGCAGCGCCAGGAAGCCCCGGCGCCCGTCCATGCCGTTAGCGCCCCATGCCCCGCGCTCCGCCGCGGCCGCGCGCCTCCGGGACTGGCACCGCGCGCCGCGGGCGGGCAGAGGCTTCTCGGAGGCGTCTCCACCCGGGGGAGGGGCTTCCCCCAAGGCCGGCCCGGGACGTGGGGCCTCCCGGGGGCGGGCAGCTGGCCTGGCTCAGACACCCGTCCCTGCCCAGGGATCTGCGGCGCGGGGAGCTCTGGCTGCGCGGGGCACGCCCCTGCCTCGGCGCCCCCGCTGGCGGAGGGCGAGAACAACCAGCCATCCACTTAGTTGTTGGAGGGAGAGCTGGGCTGATTGCTTGCCCATCGCTTTCTTTTAACTCTTCCCGTGTCCCTTCCTTCCTTGGGGGAGGCTGAAGAAGGCGGGGCGCGCGCTGCTGGTGAACAGTCAGGAGGGTCCGTTGGGTGGGGTTGTGGATGTGACTTTGGTTAGGAAAAGTACCTGTTTCCAAACCCCAACACTGCTCATCACCCCAGTGCATCACGTTCCCTAGAGGACTGGCCCTATTTGATGCCAAGAATGCGCCGAGGAGGAACCTGTGGGATGGGGTGGGCTTGGCCCTACCTGACAAGGAAACTGCTTGCGGTTGGCGCGTTAGGGAAGGACGACAGACACCTCCCAAACCACGGACGTGCCTATAGCGTGAGATAGAAATGGATCTGAAAAGTGCCTCCCTGCCCAAACCATCCCGACCAAAGCCCCACCTTGATGAAGGGAAGCCCACTCCCTGCCCTCTTTCCCAACATGATCCTTGCCCGTTCTCCCCTGGACCAGAGAAGTGTCCGTGGTGCCTATTGCCCTTAAAGAAAACGGGGCTGCTGACGGGGACTTACGGATTGCATGCAGGGACATTTACGTCTAGCCCTCTCCTGCAGCTCATCGCTAAGGGCTAGCCTGGTTGCCATTTCGAAAGGCCTTAGAAAGTGAGAAAGTGTGTGGGGGTGGGAAAACACACACACACACACACACACACACACACACACACAAGTTTTAGGCCAAGAAAGAGGAGTGCAAAGCCCTGATAGTGGGCAGGAGTAACCAACGGCTGATAAGAGGCTCCAGATTTCCCCCTTGTCATTATTACCCTCTCAGCCAGAGAGAGAGGGAGAGTAAGCACATGGACCTAACTTTGATAAAACTTGTCACTTGAAACAGATGGAGTGTGTGGGTGGGGCATTTAGCCCTTCCCGCCCTAATTGGTTTGGCTCAGTGGATAAATAACACAACCTCGATTGAGCGGGTCAAGGGCATGTACCTTGGTTGTGGGCACATCCCCAGTAGGGGGTGTGCAGGAGGCAGCTGATCCATGTTTCTAACTCTATATCCCTCTCCCTTCCTCTGTGTAAAAAATCAATAAAATATATATGTTTTAAAAAAGGACCCTTCCCCATAGTACAAGGCTTTCTGTGGACTGAGCCAGCCTAGTCCTCCACTCTAACCCTTTACCACAATCTGACTAGCCCTGATATCCAAGGCTCTAAACTTTTCTTCTAGCTCCCGACCGCTCCCTACCACCTTCTTGCTCTTCTGACCGGGAACCAGCCAGCAGCCCAGGAGTCCCCTGCAGCCGGCCACGGCCATCAGTGCTCCATATCCCGTGTCCCAGCAGCCACGGGCTTTGCCTGAGGCCATCTGCACCCAGAAACCTCCCCGTTTTACAGCAACCCACACTTCTCCAGCCAATGCATGCCAACATCACTCATCAAGATGTGATGCAACCGTCTGTCCCTGTTTCCACGTCCCTGACTGCCCCTTGAGGGTATTAACCATCCAATTTCTCCTTATATTCTCCTCAGCATGAAGTAGTAGTTGTTACTCAGTAAATGTTTGCTGAGAGATGAACGGGACTGAGTGTGTGAGTCAGGGTCCTGGCAGGAAACCGATGGCACATTTCAATTGGGCAACTTAATAACACGCAGGACCTCCTATTTACAAAGTTGTGGGCAGGGTGTGGGGAACCACAAGGGTTTTGCAGTGCCCAAGCCTGAGGGGGAGAGAGCCACTGAAATCCACGGAGATACAACTGTATAGAAGAGGCAATCTAATTAGGGCTGTGGCCTTGAGTTGAGGGACTATCCTGCAGGGACTCCACAGAGAAGAAGAACAGGAGGCAGAAATAGTCCAGCCTTATTCTCCTCCCCTCCAATCTCCTGCCCAGACTGAGGAGTTTAACTTAGTCAGAAGCCAGGGGAGAGTTTAAGACATCAAAGATGATTGCTTATTTTTATCTGTAATGATTAGTCCAATAGGCCAGCACCTTAGGGAACACAAGAGTGGAGAAAGGTAAGAGTAAATCTGTAGGAATAAACAAAATTCACTGAATCTTCCCATCTGTCCCTCCCCCCCCTCCCCCCAGACATTTTTGGTTCCTGAGTCCTGCAAATATTTTGGTTAGTTTCATTCTGTTTATCTCCTTTTGGAACACTTAGTAAAAAAGTTTGGAACACTTAGTAAAAAATTTGTTAAGGAAGAGTTTATTGATTTTGAGAGAGAGAGGAAGGAAGAGGGAGAGAGAAACATGTGAGAACACAACAACAATTGACTGCCTTCTGCAGACCCCCTACTGGGAATTGAACCTGCAATCTCCTGATGCAAGGGACAACCAACTAAGCCACACCCGCCAGGACATAACTAGAATTATTTTTTAACAATAATGTCATTGTGGGCCATGCCAGCACAGTCAAGGGTTCGGCAAGCCTGAGGGAGGGCGGGTGAAGGATGAAGAAAAAGACAGACAGAATAAGACAGGTCTAGGTGGAACTTCTGTGCCTGGCTGAGGCCACAGAACACATCCAGACTGCAAAGCTGATGCTTTATTTATAGTCAGGGGCAAACAAGGTAATTTACAATGTTCTTATAAGTTTCACTTGTTTTGGCAGCCCCTCCCACAGCCCATTAGCTACCCAGGAAAGATCTAGGAAGCAGTTAGAAGATCAAGCTTAAGCTGGGACTTGTTTGCGACTTTGCCAGCAGGTCAGTCCGAGGTTTAACCCTATAACCGCTCCCTCCATCATTGTATCCTTATTCTTTTCTCCACAAGTATCTACTCCTTGTCCTGACCCAACTTCCTCATCCTCTTGACCCAACACCTTCTCTTCATTCTTAAGTTGATTTTGCTCTGCAGCAGCAGCAGCAGCAGCAGCAGCAGCAGCAGCAAATAAGAATTCCATTTAATGGAAGCATGGCCAGACGGCACAGATGGTGTTGAATTATCTTGAAGTTATAAGCTGAACTGAGAGAAGGACCTAACTTTGATAAAACTTGTCACTTGAAACAGAAAAAAAATTCACTAAATATTATCATAATGTTAACAACCTTTTAAAAGAGTTGTTCAGTTAAAATGTTTCCCACAGGAGATGGTGAACAATTTGTTACCAAAGGACTTAGACTTGTCAGCCATGCTATCCAAGGGATTCCGATACGTGTGTGGATAGGGAGGATGGAGTGTGTGGGTGGGGCATTTAGCCTTCCTAAAAACCCGAGATTCTGGAAACAAGGACTTGCTGACACAGATTTTTATTATCCCTGGTGTAGTCATTGGACGCAGAGTTAGGAGAGAAGGTGTGAAGATGTGGGGAAAGAAAAGCCACAGCCCACCCATCATGAGAATTGGAACCAGTTGCCCTGTGTGCCATCCATTTATTCATTGTCCACACAGTAATGTTGCATTTCTTTTGGTGCACACAGAACTCCAGTATTCTTTTTTTAATAATATATTTTATTGATTTTTTTATAGAGAGGAAGGCAGAGGGATAGAGAGTTAGAAACATGAATGAAAGAGAAATATTGATCAGCTGCCTCCTGCACTGTCCCCATTGGGTATGTGCCTGCAACCAAAGTACATGCCCTTGACCGGAATCGAACCTGGGACCCCGGAGTCCACAGGCTGACGCTCTATCCACTGAGCCAAACCGGTTAGGGCAGAAGTCCAATATTCTAATGTAAAGTATAAGTTATATGTAGTTTACTTTGTGGGATAAGTGGGCCATTTTTTTTTAAACTTTCAAATGTTGATTGTGTTGGTTGTCCCTCCATTCCCCACCTTTCACTGCCTTCCTCGGTGCCAGTAACCCTATGAGCCCTTGCTTCTCCGGGCCTGTGTAAGATATTGGCCCCCTGTCCTTGCTTGTCCCGGGTCTTCACCCTCCCTGGTCAGGTCCTCTTAAGTCTGTTTGCATCTCTGTAAATAGTCCCTTGATTAAACGCTCTGTGTTTGCAACAGCTGTTTCCTGCAAGACCCTGATAGAGACAAGCGGAAAAATACTCTTGCCTAATGCTGTTTCGCCAGCTTCCCCTAATTGCCTGTGCCTTCTGAGGACACACTGTGAAAGGAGGCGTATACGAAGCAAGGAGGTCACACATCTTCCTACCCTCCCTTCCGGTAGGCAGAGGTTTGGGGATCAGAAAGCCGTCCTGGATTACTGAAATAAAGCAGCTTACAGCTGATCCCAGATGTTTTAAAGTAAAAGAACTCACAGCCGACACTGTGACTCATGACATAAGCCAAGCCCGTGTCATGGGCCAAGTCTACTTAGCAAAATAAAGGGAGGGTTCCGGCTTTGAGAAGAGCACAGTCAAACTGATGTTAATGGGAGGAATACACATTCCTCTTGTGAGGCTAGACTGTGTTGTCCTCGGGAACAAATGTCTGCGTTGCTGAGGTGCTTCTGCTCTGAGGGAGCTGGTGAGGAGAGGGACCTCAGACCAGCTGTGGAAGCAGCCCCTACCACCTCCCTCTCTCAAAGTCCTTTTATCCCAAGAGAGCAAGGCTGAAACAAGGAAAGGTTCCGTTTGAATCTGGCCTCAGCCCAAAGAAATCCAGTTTGGAAGGAGGCAAGAAGTGTCTCTTTCCCTCAGGGAGCAAGACTGGGAAGCAGACCCAAGAAGAGGATTCTGGGAAGGACATGGGGAGTGAGGAAAGCACCTTCGGAGGTGGCCAAGCAAAACACCCAACTCAGTACAGCTTCTTTCCTCATCATGCA